GTATCGATGCTTTTGAACTTTGGTGTTGGAGAAGACTCCTGAGAATACCGTGGACAGCCAAGAAAACAAAGATGGTTTTATTTCCTTTCCTAATGAACCTCTATCTGGAATTATTATTTTTACAATGTACAAATCCCAGATTGTCACAACAAAAACAGCCACCTACTAGTCAGATGGTGCATGTGTGTGATATTAGGACTTTTTTGCCCTCAAAGGCATTATTTTACCTGGCTAACACTCAGTCATATTTACCATTTTGTCATTTTACCCCATTTATAAATATCCTTCTGGAGTTCTTCATATTCCCCCTTTGCTTAACCACCTTAAAAAATCTAGTCTTTATCAAAATTATAAATTTAGACCAATTATGCACAAATTTTAAAAAGCCAGTTCCAAATAGGTATTTGGGGGATCCGCTATCTCAATCTCTCCATTGTAAGGACACCTTGTTTTAAATCTCTTTATTGCAAGAGCCATTTTGGGGGGACTGATTTCTTAGATATTCCCATTGGAGGCCCATCCATTTAGTTCTACTCTCTGCTACTGTTTCTTTAATGAGTTACTAAATGACACATCCTCTCATTCCATGTTTACTAAGTTTCTTTAGCCACTTTGGTGTAAATTTTGTTAAAAGAATATGCAAATAATACCTCTCACTGGCATGCCAATTGGCACACTCAAAAAACTTAGTGAGATCTTTGCAGAAGACATCTTTGTTTTGTTACTACCTCTCCTTTTGTATGGCTTATAATTTTGTATCTAATAATATTTACCTCCCATTTACCTAATCTGTGATTTCCTGGAACTTCCTTTATCCTTTTTGAAAAATTGTATTACATTGGCTGTTTTCCAGTCCTTTAATGTAGAGGCCAGTTCTACAGATAAGGTACATATTTTTATTCAAAGATCAGCAAGTTCACATTAGAGTTCCTTAAGATCTCTCAGATGTTTTACTAGGCTGCCTACTCATTGCCAGTGCTGTTAAAAATAATCTCTCCTTAACATAAAAGGTAACTGATTAATTACTCTTGACTAGTCCCTTTCTAACAAACTCTGTACACGTTCAGGTAGAATGAGCTAGCATTATGCAGATTTATAAAAGGCCGATATGCCTTCTAAACTACCCTTTCTCTTCTGTATCTGAATCAGAGTGATTGACTCTTGTTGCTTGATCACATGATCCCAACATGAGAGGAATATTTACATACTTAATTACCAAGTGATTTTCAATCATGTTATTATTAAGCACCAAGAAATGACAGTAGGGACGCAAACCACAAAAGGAGTAGGACCTATTGTGTTTGTGAAATTAACTTCCTACAACATTATTGTATTCCCCAGGCTGTGTGTATGAGGCCACTCCGGGTGCTTTTCCCCCCATTATCTGCCATAAAAAATACAAATACTCCTCAAAGTAAACAGTGGTTTTTCTCTTGCCAGTAGTCCTGAAGCTCAGAAACATGCTTCATTGGTAAGGTTTGCAAGTGACCATCTCTGCTTTTTCCTTCCAAAAGCAAATGTTTGAGTAAGACCATGCACTGAATGATCATGGTTTGTTTAAACATGTTTTACTGAATAAATCACAATTGGCTAGGTTTGCCCAACATGTGCCATAACTATGGTTTATGAATTGTAATAACTAAGTTCACATAGTACACTAAGTCAAATTCAGGAAAACCACATTGTGACTTAGTATATGTTATGAACCCAATCCAGAGATTCTGAACAGGGGTGCCTAATGGAGGTCAAAAAAGTCAAGATGGCAGGCACAACTGCACAATGGAAGCCCCAGCTCTTTTTCAATGTGTGTGTGATGACATACATAAAAAAGAAGACAACTTTGAATGCATGGTCATGACTGCAACCTTGACTTTTGTTGACCCTCACCTCCCCTGATTCAGAGAGTTAATTTATTGTTCCTACTACTGGACATTCTGCTGATACCATAAAATCAAGTTTTACTGTATTTTACTTAATGTTCTTCTATCTGTATTTCTACAGAAAATAATGTATTTAACAATCACAATTATTCAAACAAAATATGAAAAAATATGTTTATGCTTGTGCCTTATTTTGACCTAATTCACTAAAACATTCTTCTCAGTTTAACATGTTTTAGCCAAACAATTATATACGTCATTCTTTCAATGTTGAATAAGGTTCCTTGAGGAAGTAAAGTCCATGGAAAGTAAATTTAATGCTGAGCATATTCATACTCAACTGCTGTAATTATGTTCCGGTATCACTGATTTCCCACTTACATCACCAGGACCTGTTCTCGGGTCCTGAACATGCACAGACATGAATATGCATAGAACTGTGCTGACTGATATAAAGAGAAGCATAAATTTGCTCTAAATATTAGAACTGGACAGAGCTCCCAATCCTTAGACTCAAAATACACTTAACTATTCAAGATAGTTGAGTTCTCACATCATGTTTTTTTATTAAGCCACAATGATTTGTTATATTCAACCATAAATTGGTTTACACATCACAATGGCTGGGTACACACAAAATACTAAACCAAAATTGAACAAGCTACATTGTGACTTCGTATGCTGTTGAGCCCTGCTACTATTCTTGGCCATGAATCTTTCCCATTAACTGAATATCTTTCAAAGATCTACCTCGATCTACAAAGATCTAGATCTACCTTCTGTCCATTTCTGCCCCAGATGAATCCCAAATATCAATCCAAATCCTCAGTTCCTTTGGAAGGTACATAGTAACTTCAGCTACTATGAATGGTGCCCTTTCCATTCACTTATAACAATATGTAGAAACATGGCTGCCTCCCAGAATTGTAGAATGGGTGGTTTCATTGTTCAACAAGGTCTTGATGCTCACAGGCAATCATTAATCATCATCTTTCAAATTTCACAAGCTTGGAGTTTTACAGTTTTGTATGAGAGAATGACTGCTCAGAGACACAGGAAAGTGGAGCAATGAACTCAATGTAAGGACTGACGGTGTGGTTAAGAGTGAGATAAACGTCAAGAAACAGAGAACGCACGGCTTAACTGGATATTGCTGCCGGCTGGGTAGGACCACAGCTACAGCTCTGGCAGAAGCAAAAGTGTTTGTTTCTTTAAATATCTTTTTCAGATTATGTCTACAGCTATACCCAGAGTTAACAGCACTTTTTCCAATAGCTACAAGAACCCAGCATTTGAGGTAAGTCTAAAAGGGTTTGGGGGTTTTTTTCCTTTCATTCTAGAAAATGTTCAAATACTTAAACATGGTTTCTCGGAAGTGTTGTCAGCTGCTTCGCACAAGCAACAATT